AGGTAGTGCCGCCAATGTTTAAAGGCTTCAAAAATGGCTAGAAGCTCTTTGTCATAGGTGTCATAGTTGAGTTCAGCATTGTGGAGGCTCCAGGAGCGGAAAGCGATGGGGTGAATTTCGCCATCTTCAAGATAGATGGAGAGGATAGCTGCAATTGCATAGTCGGAGGCGTCGGTTTCCACCACTATCTTTCGATCGGGGACCCAGTGGGTAAGGATGGGGGCGTGTGTAAAGGCCTGTTTCAACTCATTGAAGGCGGCCAAGCATTTGTCGTCAAATTTCCATGGGGTTCCCTTGCGGGTGAGTCGTGTAAGGGGGATGACGATGTCGCTATATCCGTGTATGAAGCGACGGTAGAAGTTGGCAAAGCCAAGGAAGGATTGGATGTCCTTGACTTTTCACGGCACCAGCCAGTCAACAATCACCTTGACTTTTTCTTCAGACATGCGAAGTCCTTCAGGTGATAGGATGTAGCCTAGGTACTCCATGGAGTCCCGGTTGAATTCGCATTTGGAACCTTTGCAGTAGAGTCCATTAGCTCTAAGCCTGCGTAGGACCTCACAAACATGTTTCTGGTGATCTTCCGGGTTGTCGGAATATATGAGGATGTCGTCGAGGTAGACTACTACTGATATGTCGAGCATGTCTGAGAATATATCGTTCACAAATCGTTGGAATGCCGCTGGAGCATTTGTGAGGCCAAAGGGCATGACGTGCCATTCGAAGGAACCGTAACGGGTCCGGAAGGCTGTTTTCCATTCGTCCCCCTTAGCTATGCGAACGAGATGGTAGGCATGCCGAAGGTCGAGCTTGGTGTAGATGCGCGTGGAGCGGGCGGAGTCGAGGAGATCAGAAATGAGGGGGAGAGGGTAGCGATCTTTCTTGGAGATTTTGTTTAGGCCACGGTAGTCGATGCAAAGTCAGAGTTCACCGGTCTTTTTCTTGACGAATAGAACTGGGGCTCTGTGTGGAGAGCGGGATGGAGTAATGAACCCATTGCGCAGATTATCATCAATAAACTCTCGTAGAGCTTTGAGTTCAGATTCTGAGAGAGAATAAATGGGTCCAAGTGGTGGGGATGTCCCTTCCTCAAGGTTGATTTTGAGGTCGTACGGTCTGTGTTCAGGTAGTTTTTCGGAGAGGGTATCGCTGAAGACATCTGCAAAATCGTGGTACTCTACTGGCACTGATGAAAGATCTGCCGGTTCTGCGGATGCAGCTTTAGCTCCAATATTAGGCAAAGAAGGCTGCAGTGTGAACTGCTGGGCGCCTTCTTCTGCACTGGCTCGGATGAATGCGGCAGCGGATATGATGGAGATCTTTGGGTGTGCTTTCGTAGTAAAAGATTCTGAGGGAGGATAGGAGTAGATGGGTTCATATGGGAATGAAGTCCGCTGGTTACCCGATGTGGACTTGGAATGGGGTGAAGCCCCGGAAGTTAGACTGATAGAGTCCGATGGGCATAGAAGTCCCGAAATTGAGCTGGAAGGCTCGGAAAAAAATGGACTGTTGTCCTGTGGGCACGGAAGTCCCTGGGATGCGGTGGAGGCCGCGGAATTGGTTGGAGTGGGGTCCTGGTAGCTTGAACGGAAAATGATACTGTTCTCAGCCCAGTCAATCAGTGGATTGTAGCGGGAGAGCCAGTTGTATCCTAGGACAAGATTGCAAGACGAATCCAGAGGAGTGACATAGAAGTCGATGGGGAAGGTGTCTCCGGACGGGAAACAGATGGGGATGGTTGCTATTTGAGATATATGGCTCCCGATGGAGCCATCAAATAATCGAAGTTGCACACTAGGGATGGTTTTAATGGGGATTTCATTGGCAGTTACATACT